CCTTAACTATAGGCAAATTACGTACTCCGAGGAAAGAAGACGGTATACACTGACATTTTCAAGGCATTACTCGAATAAGTAAGTACTACGGTCGAGAAAATTATAAAGGTATACGTGCATTTTTGCAAAATTTTCCAAATGCCAAATAAAATATCCTTGACAAAGTGAAATGATAAAAGAATTAATTTCGAAACACATATTAGTTACGAATTAATTAACTAAATTTCTTATAACATCGTTAAGTGTTTTAAAAAAGTTATATTGTTCACTGATAATATATGTGTTACTCAGTTGGATAAAAACATTTATTACTGAATAGACGTACTATTTATGACACTATGATAGAGAACAGGTATAGTAATATGTACAATATTGCTGGTAAAAATCATGTACACAGAATGTACTGATAAGGAATGACTTAAAATTACATTAATTTATTTCACATCGAAACGATTTAAAATTTTAAAAAATTGCTATTTTACGTTGCAGAATGTGCTCATATTTCATGCTAAAGTGCTTGAAGCAGGAACGTTACACTTGTATGAGAATTAATTAAGATTTTCTAATTCCGTTTCTTAATTAAAGATCCTGTAATACAGCGTTAATTTAACCAGTTTAGTTAAGTTTAACGTAGTTAAGATATCCGTGCCTTATTACAGTCTTTACGTAAAATATGTATTTTACTTTTTCACATAGGGTACAAGAGAATATTGATCATCGTTCGTGTGAACGAAATTTGTAACAATGGACGGTGAAAACTATTTAAAAACATGGTCCATTTTCAGGAAATTTGTTAATATTTTTCTCCATTTACTTTATTCCTCTACTTATCCTTTTTCTTTCTTCTTCCGAAAGACTTTTGTTCGATTTATTATACAAATCTTTAGAATATTATTCTTTGCCACTTATCCTTTTTCTTTCTTCTTCCGAAAGACTTTTGTTCGATTTATTATACAAACCTTTAGAATATTATTCTTTAGGTTAAAAGAGACCGCAAACAATCGCTTGTTAGTAATAAAATATTAAAAATGTTCTCCGAGAAAAGTAAGAAAAACGCAAGGGCAAAACGCTTGTGACTAATCCTTTGAACTCATGAATATTCATGAACATTTTCGAATACATGAATACTTGCGGAGTTGTATTGTTATTTACATATATAGTTCGATGTAGTACAGGAATAAAATAGGACAGTGTTAAACTAAAAGCGGTGTGCTATTTTTTATATTTGAATATCAGTAACGAAATACTATGATAATTCTGTAACTTTTAAGTCTTCCAGAATTAAATATAACAGGTTTTATATATATGTATTTGCATTATGCACTTTACAATATAATTGAATAATATTTTCTTCGAATATCGCGAGAAAGTTTCCTTTGCTTAAGGTTTTTTGAAATATCACTTTTATTTTATTGACTTTGGATAATTGATAAATGTGTGTTTAATTTAAAAAGGGGTATGTATTCTACCCCGATTAATACGTTCAGTGCCACCGTCGAAGCATCATCGACACCGAATGTTCTGTATGCCACCGTCGAAGCATCGTCGACACGGAATGTTCTGTATGCCACCGTCGAAGCATCGTCGACACGGAATGTTCTGTCTGCCACCGTCGAAGCATCGTCGACACCGAATGTTGTGTGTGCCACCGTCGAAGCATCGTCGACACGGAATGTTCTGTGTGCCGCCGTCGAAGCAGCGTCGACACAGAATGTCTTACCATGTGCTAGCGTCGACAGTACGTCGACGTTGTATCGATCGGTTACTGCCACACCAAAAGTCGATGTCGTCCATGTGCAACGGACAACCACCACCATAAATCTTTCATTGAACGTTGAGACAATGTGTGTGCTTTGTTGAGGCAACGAATCGGTGGCACACAGCATGTTCTTTACGATCTGCAGATGGCAGCGAACATGTTGAATATACATGAACAGATCTGTTTCGCGATCTAGTTGCAGTCTACTTGTTGTAGGTGTTCCCCGAATATATATAACAATTTTTGTACTTTAAGCTCGTAAAGTAAAGCAAGTGTTTTTAAGAAGATTCGAAGAATTTTGATGAAAAGTCAGTGGATGTTGGAACGTCTAAACTAGAAAATTTCTGAAAAATGTAGAAAAATTCTTTTAGTTCGCTTATTCGCTCTGCAGTATTTTGATGAGTTGATAACTGCAATATCTTTGCGCAAGCCTAGTTCAATAACAGCTTCCACTTTAATATCGTTTGTTTGTTCAGTCTCGGTAAACTATGTAGAGATTCGTATAACATCGACCGTCTGATGTGTTCTAAATTCTTATCGAGATAGCGGTTAGAAATCGGGGATCAATTTCAATCGTAGGTAATTGAAACGGCTGGAACCTGGTGAAAATTGTTCGTCGAAATAACAATTCGTGTATTAATATTCCATTGGAAATTCTTTCCAGTTTCTTTCCTGCAACCGAAAAATCAATAATCATAGCAACAGAATTTATCCTTATCGCGCGGTCGTGTGTTATCTCCTATAAAATTCATAACACCGATTATAAAGCAAATAAAGATCACACCTTTTTTTTCGAATCTGAAAATTTATCGGATGATAACAGTAATACTACGTTAGAAGTATGCCAGTTATATTGTCGGATCAAAATGTCCAAAAGTCGAATACAACGTCAAGTTTAAAAAACAACGTTGAAGATGTATAAATTACACGATTGACATAAGTTCGATGCTCCAATGCTTTCGAAATTTGTCCAACAATCATGAAACTCTTCATTTTTAATTCTTTTGTAGATATTTATTCGAAGCATTTATTAATATTGAATTAAGTCTATTCTTCAAAATTACTATTACTATATTATCGAGAAAAATTAACGTATTAATATCGTATAAAGATTGTAGTTTAGGATAGATACACAAAGTGTCAGTACCTTATTGTACAATATTTACAATTCGATATTAAACACGCGCAGAAGATTATCCTTTGATTAACCTTATCAAAGTACGTTCTCGAGGGCTCATTTGGAAGACAAAACTAGTTTCTGACTTTTGTTGTGCCATCAAGTAACAGCTAAACTATCCTCCTCCAGAAGCCCAAGTCGTACAGGCTCGACAACTTTGACGAGTTAATCTACTTTACCCCCTCTGAGCTAGTAGAGAGTCCCATTGTGATAATTCCGGAGGAGCGAGTACTAATTTCTAGACGAATCCTTTCAATTCAAGCGGGTACCTCGGAGATTTCTGCTTAAACAGAGATGAAGGCGAGGCTGACATTCCTGATCCTTGCTTTACGAAAAATCTCCACTTCGCTATACGAGGCGTGCATTAATTATCACTTTCCGGCTTTCAGAATTAACAAATACTCCGTTTTACAGAATTGTGCGAGATTTTTGTATAATTATTTCAATAACGCTTACATTTTCATAATACTCTCTTGTTTCGTTTATTCTGCTTCTGAACCAATAACGAGGTGTAATTGTTTCACCTTAATAATGACTTATTGAGAAAAGAAAATTTATTTTCTAGTACAAATATTGGTTTATATCACTGAAAGTGTGTTCATATGCTTGACACGTGTTCCTTTTTTTATTGTAATTGCGATTCTTCTTAATCTGCGCGATTTTTCCCATATTCGAATTTGTATTTATAAAGTGAAATATGTATTTCTCAGTGAGCAAGTAACTTTTAAGCACGTCCTTTTATTCCATATATTCTGTTTAATAGTTTTGAAAATAATTATTTTTAAAAAAGCCTTAAATATTTAAATAAGATTAACAAGGTTTGAATATTTGTATTTACAAATAATAACTTGAAATAAGATTGGAAACTTAAAAGGAGAACAAAAGCCACGTGAAAAGACGTGTCTCCAGTGTACATATTTCTTCCGTTCGAGACACATTTTATTCTTGTCATCCGTTAATTACCAGCTATTTCCATCTGGTCTGCCGGCTCTAAAATGGTACGCTCCTCCATTTAAAAATAACAGGGATGATTTATTTCCTTCAAAGTAAATATACCTCGAGATAAAATCTCCTGCCGTTTCGTTAGCTGTAACCGACTTATATCGTTTGTCTGTCACGTTTGACAAAATAACGATCATCAATCTCCACGTTTACTATTAAACGAAGAAAATATAATTCACCATTGTTCGCATGCCGCTAGTGAAATCATTCGTTTATCGTTAGTTGATAACGGATAGCAAATAAACGAGGATGATGAAAAGTAAAGAAAAATCTGTACTTTAAATCGAAAGCATTTCCTTTGGATAAGTAGAAGTAATTAACGTACACCGATGGAGTTTCGATTTACAAGCCATGCCAGAGAGTCGAGGATTTAAAAAGATTCCGTCAGGAAAATCATTGAGTGGTTGTTACCATTTGAGAAATTGAAATGCTTATAAAGGCCATCTGTTTTTTTTTTTTTCAACGTTCTACTAGACGTGCAGAGTTATTATAGGCAAATGTTCTCTCCCTTTTTTTTTTTTTCTTGCAAACTTTTCCTCGAGGGAAAATTGGAAATTCATGTTTGTAACGTGAAAGTATCAGCGAGTTCTGATTTATTCGCTCCATAAATTGTACCCGCGAACTGTAACTACATTAAAATTGTCACAAAGATATCTGCGTGCGTCATAATTCAACTATAGTTCTGAGAAACAATATTTTACGTGAACAGGAGTACCATGTGCCGTGGAAAATATATGTAACTACTTCTCACGTTTATTACTTTCATCTGTCACTTGTATCTCTTTCTCCCTCGTAGAAGGAAATAATTTTGGCTACAGAATCTTGAAATAATTCGTTGATATTTTTAAATATGAAACTTACCGTTTCAAAGTCACTTTTTTGTTACACTTCATACACGTTAACGGAAAAGAAATGTTATATTCTTGACTATATTGATATTACGCTTGAAACGAGAGAGTCCTAGAAAATATTCGATGATAATTCGCTAGGCTAGCATAAGTTACGAATACACGAGGATTGTACGAGTATCACTAAAATTGCTGTTTATGTTTCATTTTCTAGCCAATACTAGCCAGTACGCGCATTACGTTTTTAACACCTTGGACCAGGATCATAGTGGTCTTCTCAGTTTTGAGGTAAGTGCGTTGTTTCTAGTGTTGCAGTAGATGTTGAAGGGTGATGCGTTGTATTTTTGTGCGAAACTTAACATCCGTAATGAAAGTAGAAAATAAACGAAACAAATTAGTGAATTATTGTACGAAGTATCAGAGAGCTATACTTACTCCATACATATATGTATTAGGTGTAGAAATGAATTCTTTCCGACTGGATTCACATAATTGATTCAAAGCCAGCGAGTTTCTGTCGCGAGCTGCCAGAAAAATGGCAAAAGGTCATCAAAAATAATGGAAATTATTTCGATGATTGATCTGTTTTCATTCTCTTTAAATAACACTTTGATTATACCCGAAAGTCGAAGAATTTAATACAACAATGACTACTATTGTAACTGAACTGGAAACAAGAAATTACAAGTATCGCTTATTTCGCTTGTAAGCTTGCAATTACGTTGTTTCTCGACACAATATCTTTGGTTTCCATCTGAAAACATCTTTTCACAATATTAAATAAAATAGTAATATGCTAGAACGACTAATAAGAAAAATCTTCCAAATTTTCAATAAATGTAAATATCGAATTATTCAATTTGGTGATTAAGCTGATATAAACGTGCAATTTAAGTAACATTTTCTACACTTTTTTTTTGTATCTATTGACGCACGGTGCGATGTCATCTGTCAGATACGTTTATTTGGGACGTCGACCGTCGAACGTCGTTCCAAATTAATTGTTAATTGTTCTTGCGTGGAATTAATTTCTTTTTCAATTCCATTTACGCCGACTACCAACTGTAATACTACTGATAGAATCATGTGTGTAGCGTTACTTAAAATTTCTCGTGAAAACAAATGTAAAATCAGTATCATTGAGCGTTAATTTTAAAATAAATAACAAATATAGCAAGCATTCCTTAAACGCTGAACAAACATTTTGCATACAATCGATTCTCGATGCAACATTTATCATTTCTCTGAACTATTAAACGTGTCAGATTAAATCTTCCTTTCTTATTGATTTGAAATTAGTGTCATTAATAACTGTCTGTAAATAAGTAAGTAACAAGAGGAACAAACATTTTCCATACAATCAATTCTCCATAAAACATTTATCATTTCTCTGAACAATGAAACGTGCGAGATTGAATTTTCGTTTTCTATTGCCTTGAAATTAATATCGCTAAATATTGTTATTTAAAATAAATAAGTAAACGAAAAATGGTGCAAACATTCCTTAAATGCCGAACAAACATTTTGCATACGATCGATTCTCCATAAAACATTGATCATTTCTCGGAACTGTTGAACGTGTGAGATTGAATATTCCTTTCCTGTTGATTTGAAATTAGTATCGCTAAATATTGACACATAAAATAAATAAACAAGTAGACGACAAATGGTACAAACATTCCGCAAAATGCTCGACAAACGTTTTGCATACAATGTCTCGACGAGACATACATCATTTCCCCGAACAGTGAAACGTGTGAGATCGAATACTCCTTTCCTGTGAACAATGTACCTGTAAAGGCGATACATGATTCGGGGTTAAATACTGTTCATGCTTCGCTTATTGAAGCAAGCGTTTCAACATCCCATATTCATCATGCAAATCATTGTCGCCCTTGTACAATTAGCGGTTCGCACGATTCAATTGGCAAGTATGCTTCAAACAAATATCCGGCGGAGATTAATGCTAATTGCCAGGTAGGGTACCAGTAACGAGCAACATAGATTTAACTAAGTTTTCCAATCGATAATCGGGGGCTAATCAATCGCTGATTCGTGGTTAATTTGCGGCTCGATACCTGGAACATTTCTGCCTGGTTTTCTTCTTTTCTTTTGTTTGTTGTTTCAAGAACGAAGTCATGAGAAGAGCGAGGAAGTCGCAGGGGGATAATTGTGTGCTAACGCAATTATCTTTCGTGACTTCGGGCTGAAAATGTACTTTGTGTAATTAGCCCTCGAGTTGCCCCCAAGCTCACACACATTACAGTTGCTCTCTTCGCCGCAAACATTTCTTTCTCGTTCGTTCTTTTTCTCTGCTTTTGCGGGCGATAAAGTTTCTCTGACGTCCAACCTTGTTTGATTAAGTTTTTCTATCAAATTCCCTCTAACTGCCTCTGTTCGGGAACGATATACGTCAATGTCCGAGTACGCTGATTTTTCTGCGATAAGGGTAAAGGGCGATACAAAGTCAGCTTTTTCCCGACGATTGCGAGTTACATTAGCTGTATTGAATTCTGTTAGACGGCGATGTAGGTACGCGTGGAAATTGTATTGTGTGTGGAAACAACAATTTTCCCCCGTTCTCTTTTATCAGTAATGTTTCGACATGTAGATACGATTAATCCGAAAAATATTCGGACACTAATGGAACACCCGTTGAACACGGTGCTGGCAACAAATACTCGTATTTTGAAAATTACTTGGAAATGGAAGTGAAAATATTTAGAATAAAAGTGTATAAATATTTTAATAATCACAGTATTACACAAATTATTAAATAGTTCAAAATCAATTTGTTGCAGGAAATAATAACATTTAAGCTTGCTTTCGTGTAAAAGTTTATAGTGTTGTAATAAGTATAAATTGAGAAAGAATTAAACGAAGGCTTTTCTTGTAACGAAGCAATAAAATAATTAATCGAGTTTTCACAAAGACTAGAAGAAGTTTGAATAATTCACCGGATGAGGCTAAAAATTTCACGTAATGTAGTTTCTACTTTGAAACTGAACTGTTTCGATATCGAAGAAATAAAAAGTCACTGGACGTTTTACATTTTAAAAACTTTGGGAAGTTACGAAATCGTGTAAAAGTTTAAAAGAAACTCCTTTGAAGTAACTTTGGAAAAATTAAGAAAAATGGTTCCCTTCCTTAATTTATTTTCCTTTTTACTACCAGCTTTTTCATTCAAAAGGACAATAATGTCTTCTCCCTCTTTTTCTAACGACACGGCTTAAATACCGGCACACCTAATTACCAAAAGTTTTCAAAGTAAGCTCGCCGTATTTAATAATCAATTCCTGCGAACTTAATCATTTCTTCCCTCGTGCTATCTTAATTAAAACCAGTAATACGGAAATAAAAATGTTGAAAAGTATTAGTTTCGAAGAAGAAATTTCGCTAATGTAATAAAGTTTTTGAAAGAGATAAATGAATATGTCAGCAGTAATATTATGAAATCTTTCATAAATTATTCTACAACTGTTTACAGTTTAATACAAATATATTAATTTTTACAAAAAGTCATATCAAGCTACATTTTGCATAGCATGGAAAAAAAGACGAAAAACATAAATTAACAAATTATCCCCAATGTCACATTTAAATAATTAACGTCAACTTTTGTCATATAACTCTCGGAGAGTAGAGCGATGCTCTCAGACAGTCACTCTCAGACGCGAGAGATACTCTCGAGAGCAACTCGCGATAGTTTTACTCTGAAAAGGACAGCTAGCTTTATGTTTGGCTCGATGTACGTACAGCGACCTAGGCTCCCGTTTCTTATGTTTGGCTCGCAAGAAATATCACGAGTTCTAAGAAGTTAAGGCCTCGAATTTTCCCCAGAACAGTTGCGAGCGTACAGCGATAAGAAATCGGGCAGGACGACTCGTCCTCAGTCGGTGTTTACCAGGCAGTCGAACGAGTGCCTCGACGAACGACGAACGTCGCTTATACTGCGCGATTATAGGCTTGTAGGGAATACATCGAACGAGAAGCTAGTGCACCGAATTCAAGTACACGACGAACAGCTCAGCTTGGGAGAAAAATCAAACGAGAACCGTGTCTCTGCGAGCTACACAGCTACAGTTTCACAGTATGTGTATGCGTGAATAATACGTATGTATATATACGTACACAATCGAATGATTGAGTTAATTGAAAATAGAGAAGAGCCTTCGTATAGCTAATTAGATTAATTGCTGCAACAATTTCGTTTAATCGTATCCTAAGTTTATTTTTAATTATAACGTGCTATTTAGCTTTTCCAGTTTATACAACAAACTTTGCATTCGGTGTTTATGAAATTATACAACACGATTGTGTTCCTTTTAATCAAGAATATAAAGTGTATGTAGCATAAAGGTAACATTTCCTTCATTACGCTCAGTTTCTGAATGGAACATATTCAAAAGTGATTAGTTGCCCAAACTGTAAATACACAAACACAACAGGAGAAACCAAAGATATTCCGTTTAACTCGAGACAAGGTGTAAAAATTAATAGCAACGTTCTTCGAAAAAAAATTTCTAAAATTAATTTTCCTGCGCCTAATGACTTCCATTATTTTCCACACGAGCCGCTATTGGTTCAGTAACACTTTCGGGCAACCCAAGCCTCTATCAAGTTCAATCGCATTATCAGCTTACCGTAAGGTCTGCAAATGTGAGGAGATTACAGCTGCTCTTTTACGCTGTGATACTTTTTGTCGAGGGATTTTCATCTCACGACGACACAACTTCTCCATCTTTGGCACCACCTTTCGACACTTCACTCATGCGCGAATTTATCGTCTTCTTTCGAAACAAGTCCACCGATTTTCAGGTTAATCGTATTATCTCAGCAACTTGCTACCTAATCTACATAGACACAGCATAGGTGCGGAGAACGTAATTTCACGTTATACTCTTATCCTACACGATAACTTTTCTTGAACTTTTCCGTGAGAAAATCTTGCTAAACGGTAGGACGTTTCGGAAAATTCAGTAAAACTTGAATCACAGGGAATTTTCGTTGAAGGTTTCTTGCAAGCTTTCCTTCCCAAAATTAATCCCTTAATTTTTCTTTAGCTCTCTACTCGATAGTTAACTACATTCTTACCTCTGTCTTGGTGATAAGCTGTCTACGGATAGCAGGCACGCACATCACTGAGAATAAACAAGGAAAAAAATGTTTCTGTTTCGTACGCACAATCAGTAGGCATAAAATTTAGTCGTACCTTTAGTACAACTCTGTCTTTGACCTACATGACGAGGAACAGGATATTCGGAGATTCAGCGTGTAGGATGAGCATG